CTGTAGGACCCCAACCAGGAAGTCGTGAAGGACTAACAGAAGCCAGTTCTGTACAGCTTTCTTTCATACCACGACATCACGTCATACACTGACCACCTCTCTGCTTTTTCCAACCAGTCCCAGAGTCTCCGAATCATATACGATGTTGAATTCTCTGGGACGACATTCGTAGTACATGTCCAAGCTACTGAAGTTGATGTTTCAAGACGATGACACCAATCGAATTACCGTCTCTGTGCCCGAACACAAGATGCCGAACCTCTGCATTACTAACATGATGCTGCCACTGGATTTCAGCGCATATAAAAGCTTTTCTAAACAAAGACTGTCAACATATTGCTCGTTAATTATTCTGATTTAGTTGACAGGTTCGTATATCCAACATAAAGTCGCACACGATTGCTGATGTAGCGTCGGGTTACAAATAGATCACAACGGGTTCAAACCTGGGACTTAATGGTTGGAACCCAAGTAACGTACTATCTAAGCAACACCATGCCCAGACTCGTTTGAAGTAGCCAGTTAAGTAAAGGTCCCAATGGCAAAACACGTCTAATTCTGCACTCAGGTTATCCACTGAAGTGCTACTAATGGTTAGTATGTATTTAAATCCCAGTAACTCAGGTTGGTGCACTAATTTTTGAAGATTGTTTAATGATATTACTTGTTTTATTTACGTTCAGTTAGAAGTAGTCGGAAAACTGCCGTTCAGTCTTACTACGTGTAACATTTCTGATGGCTTGATTAACAGAAATGTCGTTTCGATCAATTGTACCTCCACCCGATTTTTTATCAAAAGCCGAATTCAACAGACCTTGTGGTCGGTCGCCAAATAAAATCTCTACTTTACTAACTAATGTGCAGCGAAGAAATGTTCAAACACTTGCTCCAACAGAATCGAAAGACCTAACATTTTTTCAAATGGCTGCTCAGGGTGAGCTGTTGTTGCTTCAAAGGGAAATAGAAAGTCGGAACTTCAATCTAGATATCCCAGATAACCAGGTTAGTATCAAAGTAATGCAACCTACGTAAATATGTGATAGACTAGTACATGCACCTAAAGAAGTTTCTTAAAATTAATACTATCATCTACATCTTTTTCGTCATCCATTCAATGGATTTAAAGCTCGATTCAAATGACAGTTCCAAGTACATTTCGCGATAACGTTTACATGGTGTAGTTAATTTACAGTCATTTAACGGATAAGTACTTGTTATATTTACTTTTCTGTACTTATTTTATAGGTTTTCTGGGGTTTTAGCCATAAATTCTAATAAATTGACATGGAAAGTCTTGGCCAACTGCAAAATACCAGTACTTTCCAAACGGCAGAATTCGTATACTAGTTGCTCATTCGAATCCTTTGATAGGGATGTGTTTTGACAATCCAAGTCGACGAGATTGTATTTCAGTAGAGATAGATTCATGGAGTGAGATGAAAAAATTGTCACCACTAGAAGTATATATATGACAATGTAGGAGTTTGTGAGAAATAAACAATTGTGATAAAAAATCCTAACTCAACATATTCAGATAGGACAGCTCTTCGCAAGCTCAGACCTGACCATCAACAGTGTAGTAAAAGTCCTTTATCAGAATGAGTTTGCTTTTCTACACCTATACCAACGAAAGACAATGTCACAAGACCTTCCAACTGACGAAGTTAAATGCAGTTGTTTTAAAACTTGGCGGCAAATCCCCAACTTTTCGGTCTGAATAATTTAAAACAAAGATTCTTCCTCAAGCAGAGATTTGATTTAAACCCTTACAAACCAAAGGGTTTATTCTAAAGTTCCATTACTAGCGGGTCTTAACAGTAAATATGGGTTTATGTTTTCTCACAGGTCTCTGGATGACCTTTGTCTTTCGAATGCCTGCCCGTCGGTACCAGTTTATTTGTCAAAAGTGACTAAAGTAAATCATTTAGAAATCTCATGGGTTAGTTTCTTAGATAAATTTTTATGAAGCAATCACGACAAACATTGTTAAATAAAGTCGAATAAAGCAAGGACAAATGTAGCAGAATAAGGTGAATTCATTTATTTCGTGGATTCTCGTCAGCTGCTTACAATCTGGAAACGATAGTTATTATTTTTAACCGATATCATACTAATGAGGACTATTGGAATAACTATTAGTATGGAGAAACTGTAAAGTAGATAAATATTTACGTTACTAAGTAAGAATTCTGGATGGAAAATGTTAAAATACACGGAGAATGAATGAAGATTGTTCGGGAAAAGGGATTTGTTTTAGCATTTTCTAAATTTTCCGCGTGATCACCAACTATATGAGATGTCATTGACAAGATAGAGTGTGGCTAACAGTTAAGTTTACAGCTCGCGTTTCGCGCTGTTTATGAATCGTCAGCAAGTTGTACGTCCGTCCCAGAGTTGATGCTCACTTCGGGACTCGGACCCAGTACCGTTTGCTTTAAAACGCCACCACTAAGCTACTGATAGCTATTCACTTGTGCAAAGTGTATAAGATTGAATTTAATTTGAAATGGTTTGAACTATATTGTCGCTGATATTTTTGACGGAAATTCAATCAGAATATCCATATACCAACCAAGATTGACCAAATTTTCGTCAAAAATATCGACGGCGGGATAATTCAAACCATTTCAAACGGAATTAATAATGAGATGTTTTACAAATTAAGCATCGTGTTAAAAAAACAAAGTATATTATTTCGCCAGTAAAATTAATCAATTACTCACTCCACAATCATGCACGTGTTTATTTCTGTCAGTAAAATGAATTTGTTTCCCACGATGGTACATTCTTAAAACACCTTGTTTACACAACTAATGTGTATGCGGAGGCTTTAAAAACAACGCAAAATAAGTCCACTTTATCCAACAAAGTTTGGTGTTATTTTATTACAAGCTATTCAAGAGTCCATATTTTAGTGGTGTAAATATCGATACAAGTACATGCTTTGATGACTACTTGTTGTTAATATGCTCTGTTATTTAATTTGCAGGGATTTACGCCACTGTTATGGGCTTGTGCTAATGGACAGAAAGCTGCAGTGGAGTTACTCGTTTTCTATGGTGCAAATATCATTCTATCTGGAGATAACGGAGAGACAGGACTGCTCTTAGCTGCTAGCCGCGGTCACTTTGATGTGGTTCTTTACTTGCTCAAAGCTGGATGCCCAGTAGATCTGTCTGACGAGCTGTGCAATACTGCATTAATGTTCGCAGCCTATAACAATAACGCCGCAATTGTGTCTTTGTTACTCGATTGGGGTGCTGATATTACTTCTATAAATGCAGACGGGTGGACAGCACTAGATTTTGCTATACGACGAGGCTCACGTGCCAGCCAACGTATAATTGAGAAGCATATTTTATCCCTGTTGCAAACTCAATAGTTTTTCAGACCAAAGCAGTCGGAAAAGTTTTTCCATGTTCGGAGGTACTCACGTGGTTTCGTATTTGTCATTATTAAGGCTCGATAACTTCCGGACATTTTCACATGCACTGTGAAATCGTTTCAGAATGTATGTATAGATAAATATAAACTACTATCTTTTGTCAGTCCGCGTAGTATTGACTTGTTTGATGTTTTTCTAACTGTGCAGTAAACATGTCAGATCACTGGAATGGTTCGTACCGCGTAATCATCTGGGCGAAACCGTCATTTACGAGCGCGTGTTGAATGTGAATGTTATCGCCTGATTTACTCTTGTCTTGGAACTAGTCCATCTAGTTGGACAACTGTGGTCGTTTTTGTAGGGGAGCAAATGATCGTTCATGAGACCGATGGTTGGGAACCATATTCGTTCGATGCAGTAGGTATAACGGCTTGATGTTGAGCAAATCGAATAGTCCAACAGTACAGCTCAATCATATCTGTTCTATCAAACGTTTCTACATCTTCAATATCAATACACTGATGAGGTGTGAGTATAAGGCTTGCTCGCATCTATCAATAAACACAACTTGACTAGGAGTTTGATTCTTAACTATCATCATCTTGCGTGAAATAATTGAAAAGGCGATGAGTTACAGGAACACCGTCTTCGTAGTGGTAAAGTTTATTAGGTTTGTGAGACGGTTATGGAAGTAAAACCGACTCGAAAATTATTGGTATAATTGCGACTATCGGACTAATAGAATGGTGGCAAAACTGACCCTCTAGTCCGAACCAAAAGTATTTCAGAAAACCTGGGATATATTCGGCTGGGACGATCCTATGGGAAATTCGGTCGCTTTAATCACCTCCATATTTTATTGAATCGATCATATGCTCACTAGTGACTGGCTCCTTGAGGTAATTCCTCGAGTTCTAGTGAGAAGTCGTGGCCAGTGGAGCTAATCCATGTCAGGTAGAGACAGGTATCTACCTCAGTACATTGGAAGTTGGTTGCGCAATTTCGTGGATTGGTTGAGGTTTGACATTAACACCGTTGGATGCCAGTTCAGTGGTCTATCGGTTAAGGGCTCTGGCTGGAGACTGGTAGGTCCTGGGTTCGAATCTCGCGAGAGCGGGTTCGTGGATGCGCACTGGTGAGGAGTCCCATAATAGGACGAAACGGCCGTCCAGTGCTTCCACGGTGGTCTAGCTTCAATTGACTCATGATCTTAACTATGAATCGATTCTGTTGTCATAAAATTTCCTACATCAAACCAAGCAGCCTGTTGAGACACATGTAGTGCTAAAAATTGTTTATCGATTGGGTACTAACTATGCATCACATAAGCATTTAGAGATGTTTCAAATAAGTCATTCTAATCGTTGAGTTACAACGGCGTGTAAATTAAAGACCAGCTTTGTCTGTTGGACTTTAGATAAGGAAATTTTTGCATGTTAGATAGTGTTTCGTTCACAATATCATAGGCACTACCCAATTTAATCTGTGAAACCAAAGCTTAAGTTGACTGAGAATACATGGTAGATAATCTCATCTGCCTTGTTTTTAATGTAGATATTCACTCTTGGATAAAAATAAACTAGTTAGAAGTACATATAAAATATCACACTGTTTCTTACGTTACATAATCTTTCCAAGAAACGAGACCATCCCGGTGAAATTCAATAGGAAACAACTCAGCTGGGTCACTTTCATCACCCAAATGTTTCATGAAACTATCTGTGCGCTATAATAAATAAAACCAGTTATGCAAATACAGCTGGTTGTGATATACTGAGGCACTAGGTGACAAATTTAACATGCAACAAACTAGTCAGTCAGCAGCTTGTATAGTAACATTACTTTGGTCCCAATTATGATGCTTAGTCGACCACGGAACAGGCTATAGTCGGACTCAATTTGTTGACGTGTGATTTGCTGAAAAAAGTGTAACAGTCGGACCAGCTAATGATCGCTTAAAGTAATATAAATCAATGTCAATCCATCTTCCCTTATTTCATTGTTTGTGCATTTTCCTACCAATCGCACTTCATTTCAGTTCCTTCCTTATCAGTCTTCTGCCAAAATACATTCAATATCTAACCATCACCATATTCTACTTATATGAATATAAGTAGACCACACCTCAACAGTAATGGTGCACGTTTTAATGCAGCATGTATCACAAAGCACACGTTTTAGTGTAAACCAAGGTTCTTCTCTGTTGTACTTGGTAATCACTCATGCGACTGAGGATATTACCAACTTAAATATTCTTCCACCGTTAGTGAATAACGATCACGCTGCTTCTATCATTCACATTTAGAGCTAGTGACATGATATATGATCACGTTAAGCTTCACCCAAATCAATCGAGAGCTGACAAATCAGCTATTCAGGATTGTGCTGCCAAGACGAACTGATCAGTAGATACTAGCTCATCAGTTGAAGAAGCATGATCTATATTTAAAGGCAAGTTTATTTCAGTCACATCCTCATTCACACCATACCTGGTGCCACGCAGACCGAATAATAGTTCACCATGGATAACTAAAAATATTAAGAAGTTTCTTAGACGTAGGAAAAAGCACTGGAATATGTTCATATCTGTTGTCTTAGAACAGTACAGATCCAGTTATCGTAAGATTAGGAGTCCTTGTAAGGCGTTCGTTTGTTAAGACTAGAAGGTCATATGAAAAACAATTGGTTAGGGATTGCAAATATAGTTCAAGACGGTTATTCTCATGTATAAAGAGGCGAACTCAGAGAAACGATGAAATCTCATCACTCTTGGTACAAGAAAATCCTTTAATATTGGCAAGAAATGATATTGAAAAAGCTGAAGTTTTATCGGAAGCTTTATCAGTAAAGCATTTTCTATTAGTAATGAGGAACGACCACCCATTAATTGTGATTGTGGAGGCTTGTTAATGAACCCTGTAGTTATTGAGAAAGGTACTGCATTAAGACTACTTCAGCATCTCAAACCTGATAAGTCCTGTGGTCCTGATGATATCCACCCTATGATTATGAAAGCTCTATCAGATGTTATTGCTGGATCTATAGCGATACTGCTTGGTATGTCCCTGAGGCAGTCCAGATTGTCCAGAGACTGGAAAGATGCGATAATTGGTCCGGTATATAAGGCTGAGAGCAGAGGTTTAGTTAGTAACTATCGACCAGTTGGTTTAACCAGTGCAGTTGTAAAACTGATGGAAAAATTATTAGGATAGCTGTTATAAACTGTGTGGTAGGACATGATTTTTTATCTATGGAACAACATGGTTTTCGGCAAGACCTATCATGTTTGACGACTCTTCTCATTGCAAGAGAAGATTAGGCTGAGGCAAAAGATCGAGATACTCCTGTGGATATGATTTTCATAGATCTAAGTAAAGCCTTTGATAAGGTCTTAAATTAAAACTGGAAACTTTTGGGATACATTGTACGGTCATAGACTGGATTAGTGACTTTCTCCATGAAAGGAGACAAAGGGTAAGAGCAAATGGAGCTCTCTCACCGTGGGAACCTGTAAGAAGTTGGGTTCCTCAAGACACAGTCCACGGCCTTCTTCTTTCTTTACCTTATGTAAATGAATTACCAATTGTAGCTAAGTCATCCGTCCTACTCTTCTCCGATTAAAGGATTGGAGACCCATATACAGAATGTCAGACACACTGGTTTAACAGGATGATTTCAACTCATTGTTGCATGGATTGACAGGTGATCACTGGAAGTGAATCCTAACAAGAGTGTGGTGATGCAACTAAATAACTACGATGATTCGTATTACTACACAGTATGTGGATTTGTGTTACCCGAAGTAAAAAACTATAAAGATTTAGGAGTCATACTAAGCAAATATCTCAAAACAAGCAGCCACTGTAGGGTTGTTGCTGCAAAAGGCTATAGGGTATTATGTTCTATTCGCAGATCTTTCCAGTATTTGGATGAAGAAATGTTTAGATTATTATACCCGACTTTCGTGAGACCACATTTGGAATATGGGACTTCAGCAGCGAGTCCTCGTCTCAAATATGAGGCGGATATGCTGAGACGAGTCCAACGCTGAAGGAATAAAGTGGTGAAAGGTCTATCTGACTTACCTTATGAAGATACCCTGAGACACCTCAACTTATTTTTGTTACCTTACCGTAGAATACTGGGTGATCTAATATTGGCTTATCGTATCCTGAACAATGACCTTGGTATTATTATGTCTTACCATTTTCTTCCGTCTGGGATTGATTGTTTGAGAGGACATTGGAAGAAAGTTTAAAAACCGAGATCAAATCGTTTACTTCTGGAGTTTCGTTTCTCGCACCTAGTGAATTACTGGAATTCTCTACCAGAACACGTAATACTAGCACCTTCCGTTGATATTTTCAAAACGAGATTGGACCTCTACGGTGCAACAAACTGCAAGGATTAATATATGGCAATAGACATCCTATCCTTATTACTGAAGACTGAACAAGTTACAGTTCGCTGTTTTGAAGGTCAAAACACACACACAATTCTGTTGTATGTACGGTGTTTGAAGTTCACCCACGCTTTCCGTTTGCATTCATCCCACTGATTTGTATAATAAACCTTCTCAGTTTTAATGGGCGTCGGAAAGGGGATCAAACGCCAGCGGAATGGTGTTCAGTTTAAATTAGATATAAAAGTGAAAGAGAAAATGGAACGAGACAAACTTTTTCTCTGGAAATCACCTTTACTTACACCGTATTATTTCTTCTTGGAGTGTATATTCAGATTTACCCAGCTGCGTTTTACTGTTTTACAAAACAAAACTAGGTGTGTTTTTGCTATCGGCATAATTTTACTACTGGTTTTTCTGGACTGTTTCGAAGGTCCTCATTCTCATGTAAGCTGCTAATCTAGTTCCGTTATCTGTAGAGTTTTGACCGCATAAAATCTACCTCCTTATGGTGGTCGTGGTGGGTTTGGCTCGGATTCCTATCATCATGTGGATTTGGTACTGGTCTACACACTTTTGTTTTGTATCTAGTAAGTTAATGTGTGTTAAACAATGAACTTATTGACAGGGTCCGTTTATAGCAGAAGTCACCATGAGCGCATATGAATGTAAAACACTTGATTTTCCTCGTCCACCTTACCCGGATAGAATTGTATGTCCGGATAGAATTGTATGTCCGGATAATCTAAATCCTTTTGAAAAAATTACATTTTGGAAAATTATGCGAAAGGTGCAAATGGAGTCAATCATGTGGGTATGTTGACCAAGTGTTAACTGGTCCATCGGTTTTAACCCCTTATTTTTGGTTCGATGCTTCTATCAATTTTCACGTGACATTCCTAATTGCCTTTTGTTTTTTGAAAGACCAGTAACCGAATGCTTTTTTAAAGTGTGTTGAACTCACACACTAAAATTTGTGTTTACTTATCGTATGTCGTATTGCTGATTAAATATATGATCCTGGACATCCTTTTTAGAGCTCTGAAAGTATGGAGGGAGATTACGGTACTCAAAAAACTTCAGCACCCGCCCAACAATTGGTGCCAGTCAGTCAGCTACAACGTAGAATCAGGCACATATATGCGTCGGTCCAAGTTGCCACACCTCATTAGCACAACAAGGTGAACGCCAAATTCATAGAATAAATTACTTTATTGGTAGTAATATGTGAAACAAAGGTTGTGTATAAGGATATAATACAGGAAGAAGGAATTAGTTCGTAGAAAAAAAACATAAAGCAATTTTAATCTCATGGCCTAAGGGAAAGCAGAGTCTATACACCTACGCCATTGTGATCGATTATGAGCCATGTCACAAAGAGTCTCCAACTTTTGGTTACGATAGTCGTGAGGACCCTAACCAAGTAGTCTGCATCTTCCAACATAACTCAGACTAGAAGTTAGTGACATCAGACATTGATTCCACGTTTTGGTTTGGCCACCTCTAACTCTCTACCAACCGTCCCCAATACTAGTCAGCATAGCGCGTCGTGGTAATTGGTGTTCAAGCATACGTAACACGTGGGCCAACCATCTCAGTCGATGAAGATTTACAACCTCATCAACTGATTTATTATCATTCCCTAATAATCGATCGGGATTTTCACCGCCTGTATGATTTTTACTTATGGAAAAATGTTTGCATTGGGGGCTGAGGTAATATTGGGTATTTATTTACATCGTCGCTTGTCATTTTCACTTAACAGACTATAAGTTTGTGTTTGTCCATCCATTTTAAGGTCTTAGGGACTGCGCTTGGCGAATTGCCTCCTTATTTCATGGCTCGAGGTGCTAGGCTTTCCGGAGAATACAGTGATGAATTATTGGATTCACAGGAATCCATCTCGTCGAATCAAAATACTCCTGATCTTTCAGACCAAACAGTTACTTTTCAAAAGAAAGCTGAACGTTTTCTGCATCATCTAATCATGAAAGCTGGTTTTGTTGGAATTTTACTTTGTGCTTCCGTAAGTTATTGGTTTACAAAGTAATGTCTGCTTTATAAATTAGATTACTTTTTTATTTACAATTTAAACAGTTTTCGGAATTAAACTAGCTAGCCTTTTTGTCAGTATTACTTCAATACTTGACTAGCTAATTTATTTAAATACGAGTTCAGGAGAAATTAACAAACTATTTGTATAGTATATATTGTGACATATTTATTTATAGAAGGGGTTTTGTGGAGATTTAGTATTTATCATTGTGTGAAAGCGTGAGTCAATTGAAGCTAGACCACCATGGAAAACCTGGAAACACTGGACGGCCGTTTCGTCCTATTATGGGACTCCTCAGCAGTGCGCATCCACGAACCTGCTCCCGCGAGCGAGATTCGAACCCAGGACCTACCAGTCTCGAGCCGAAGCCCTTAACCGATAGACCACTGAGCTATCGGTTAAGGGCTTCGGCTCGAGACTGGTAGGTCCTGGGTTCGAATCTCGCTCGCGAGAGCAGGTTCGTGGATGCGCACTGCTGAGGAGTCCCATAATAGGACGAAACGGCCGTCCAGTGTTTCCAGGTTTTCCATGGTGGTCTAGCTTCAATTGACTCACGCTTTCAACAATGATAAATACTAAATCTCCACAAAACCCCTTCTATAAATAAATATGTCACAATATATACTATACAAATAGTTTGTTAATTTCTCCTGAACTCGTATTTAAATAAATTAGCTAGTCAAGTATTGAAGTAATACTGACAAAAAGGCTAGCTAGTTTAATTCCGAAAACTGTTTAAATTGTAATAAAAAAAGTAATCTAATTTATAAAGCAGACATTACTTTGTAAACCAATAACTTACGGAAGCACAAAGTAAAATTCCAACAAAACCAGCTTTCATGATTAGATGATGCAGAAAACGTTCAGCTTTCTTTTGAAAAGTAACTGTTTGGTCTGAAAGATCAGGAGTATTTTGATTCGACGAGATGGATTCCTGTGAATCCAATAATTCATCACTGTATTCTCCGGAAAGCCTAGCACCTCGAGCCATGAAATAAGGAGGCAATTCGCCAAGCGCAGTCCCTAAGCCCTTAAAATGGATGGACAAACACAAACTTATAGTCTGTTAAGTGAAAATGACAAGCGACGATGTAAATAAATACCCAATATTACCTCAGCCCCCAATGCAAACATTTTTCCATAAGTAAAAATCATACAGGCGGTGAAAATCCCGATCGATTATTAGGGAATGATAATAAATCAGTTGATGAGGTTGTAAATCTTCATCGACTGAGATGGTTGGCCCACGTGTTACGTATGCTTGAACACCAATTACCACGACGCGCTATGCTGACTAGTATTGGGGACGGTTGGTAGAGAGTTAGAGGTGGCCAAACCAAAACGTGGAATCAATGTCTGATGTCACTAACTTCTAGTCTGAGTTATGTTGGAAGATGCAGACTACTTGGTTAGGGTCCTCACGACTATCGTAACCAAAAGTTGGAGACTCTTTGTGACATGGCTCATAATCGATCACAATGGCGTAGGTGTATAGACTCTGCTTCCCTTAGGCCATGAGATTAAAATTGCTTTATGTTTTTTTCTACGAACTAATTCCTTCTTCCTGTATTATATCCTTATACACAACCTTTGTTTCACATATTACTACCAATAAAGTAATTTATTCTATGAATTTGGCGTTCACCTTGTTGTGCTAATGAGGTGTGGCAACTTGGACCGACGCATATATGTGCCTGATTCTACGTTGTAGCTGACTGACTGGCACCAATTGTTGGGCGGGTGCTGAAGTTTTTTGAGTACCGTAATCTCCCTCCATACTTTCAGAGCTCTAAAAAGGATGTCCAGGATCATATATTTAATCAGCAATACGACATACGATAAGTAAACACAAATTTTAGTGTGTGAGTTCAACACACTTTAAAAAAGCATTCGGTTACTGGTCTTTCAAAAAACAAAAGGCAATTAGGAATGTCACGTGAAAATTGATAGAAGCATCGAACCAAAAATAAGGGGTTAAAACCGATGGACCAGTTAACACTTGGTCAACATACCCACATGATTGACTCCATTTGCACCTTTCGCATAATTTTCCAAAATGTAATTTTTTCAAAAGGATTTAGATTATCCGGACATACAATTCTATCCGGACATACAATTCTATCCGGGTAAGGTGGACGAGGAAAATCAAGTGTTTTACATTCATATGCGCTCATGGTGACTTCTGCTATAAACGGACCCTGTCAATAAGTTCATTGTTTAACACACATTAACTTACTAGATACAAAACAAAAGTGTGTAGACCAGTACCAAATCCACATGATGATAGGAATCCGAGCCAAACCCACCACGACCACCATAAGGAGGTAGATTTTATGCGGTCAAAACTCTACAGATAACGGAACTAGATTAGCAGCTTACATGAGAATGAGGACCTTCGAAACAGTCCAGAAAAACCAGTAGTAAAATTATGCCGATAGCAAAAACACACCTAGTTTTGTTTTGTAAAACAGTAAAACGCAGCTGGGTAAATCTGAATATACACTCCAAGAAGAAATAATACGGTGTAAGTAAAGGTGATTTCCAGAGAAAAAGTTTGTCTCGTTCCATTTTCTCTTTCACTTTTATATCTAATTTAAACTGAACACCATTCCGCTGGCGTTTGATCCCCTTTCCGACGCCCATTAAAACTGAGAAGGTTTATTATACAAATCAGTGGGATGAATGCAAACGGAAAGCGTGGGTGAACTTCAAACACCGTACATACAACAGAATTGTGTGTGTGTTTTGACCTTCAAAACAGCGAACTGTAACTTGTTCAGTCTTCAGTAATAAGGATAGGATGTCTATTGCCATATATTAATCCTTGCAGTTTGTTGCACCGTAGAGGTCCAATCTCGTTTTGAAAATATCAACGGAAGGTGCTAGTATTACGTGTTCTGGTAGAGAATTCCAGTAATTCACTAGGTGCGAGAAACGAAACTCCAGAAGTAAACGATTTGATCTCGGTTTTTAAACTTTCTTCCAATGTCCTCTCAAACAATCAATCCCAGACGGAAGAAAATGGTAAGACATAATAATACCAAGGTCATTGTTCAGGATACGATAAGCCAATATTAGATCACCCAGTATTCTACGGTAAGGTAACAAAAATAAGTTGAGGTGTCTCAGGGTATCTTCATAAGGTAAGTCAGATAGACCTTTCACCACTTTATTCCTTCAGCGTTGGACTCGTCTCAGCATATCCGCCTCATATTTGAGACGAGGACTCGCTGCTGAAGTCCCATATTCCAAATGTGGTCTCACGAAAGTCGGGTATAATAATCTAAACATTTCTTCATCCAAATACTGGAAAGATCTGCGAATAGAACATAATACCCTATAGCCTTTTGCAGCAACAACCCTACAGTGGCTGCTTGTTTTGAGATATTTGCTTAGTATGACTCCTAAATCTTTATAGTTTTTTACTTCGGGTAACACAAATCCACATACTGTGTAGTAATACGAATCATCGTAGTTATTTAGTTGCATCACCACACTCTTGTTAGGATTCACTTCCAGTGATCACCTGTCAATCCATGCAACAATGAGTTGAAATCATCCTGTAATACTATTTTGTCTGACATTCTGTATATGGGTCTCCAATCCTTTAATCGGAGAAGAGTAGGACGGATGACTTAGCTACAATTGGTAATTCATTTACATAAGGTAAAGAAAGAAGAAGGCCGTGGACTGTGTCTTGAGGAACCCAACTTCTTACAGGTTCCCACGGTGAGAGAGCTCCATTTGCTCTTACCCTTTGTCTCCTTTCATGGAGAAAGTCACTAATCCAGTCTATGACCGTACAATGTATCCCAAAAGTTTCCAGTTTTAATTTAAGACCTTATCAAAGGCTTTACTTAGATCTATGAAAATCATATCCACAGGAGTATCTCGATCTTTTGCCTCAGCCTAATCTTCTCTTGCAATGAGAAGAGTCGTCAAACATGATAGGTCTTGCCGAAAACCATGTTGTTCCATAGTAAAAAAATCATGTCCTACCACACAGTTTATAACAGCTATCCTAATAATTTTTCCATCAGTTTTACAACTGCACTGGTTAAACCAACTGGTCGATAGTTACTAACTAAACCTCTGCTCTCAGCCTTATATACCGGACCAATTATCGCATCTTTCCAGTCTCTGGACAATCTGGACTGCCTCAGGGACATACCAAGCAGTATCGCTATAGATCCAGCAATAACATCTGATAGAGCTTTCATAATCATAGGGTGGATATCATCAGGACCACAGGACTTATCAGGTTTGAGATGCTGAAGTAGTCTTAATGCAGTACCTTTCTCAATAACTACAGGGTTCATTAACAAGCCTCCACAATCACAATTAATGGGTGGTCGTTCCTCATTACTAATAGAAAATGCTTTACTGATAAAGCTTCCGATAAAACTTCAGCTTTTTCAATATCATTTCTTGCCAATATTAAAGGATTTTCTTGTACCAAGAGTGATGAGATTTCATCGTTTCTCTGAGTTCGCCTCTTTATACATGAGAATAACCGTCTTGAACTATATTTGCAATCCCTAACCAATTGTTTTTCATATGACCTTCTAGTCTTAACAAACGAACGCCTTACAAGGACTCCTAATCTTACGATAACTGGATCTGTACTGTTCTAAGACAACAGATATGAACATATTCCAGTGCTTTTTCCTACGTCTAAGAAACTTCTTAATATTTTTAGTTATCCATGGTGAACTATTATTCGGTCTGCGTGGCACCAGGTATGGTGTGAATGAGGATGTGACTGAAATAAACTTGCCTTTAAATATAGATCATGCTTCTTCAACTGATGAGCTAGTATCTACTGATCAGTTCGTCTTGGCAGCACAATCCTGAATAGCTGATTTGTCAGCTCTCGATTGATTTGGGTGAAGCTTAACGTGATCATATATCATGTCACTAGCTCTAAATGTGAATGATAGAAGCAGCGTGATCGTTATTCACTAACGGTGGAAGAATATTTAAGTTGGTAATATCCTCAGTCGCATGAGTGATTACCAAGTACAACAGAGAAGAACCTTGGTTTACACTAAAACGTGTGCTTTGTGATACATGCTGCATTAAAACGTGCACCATTACTGTTGAGGTGTGGTCTACTTATATTCATATAAGTAGAATATGGTGATGGTTAGATATTGAATGTATTTTGGCAGAAGACTGATAAGGAAGGAACTGAAATGAAGTGCGATTGGTAGGAAAATGCACAAACAATGAAATAAGGGAAGATGGATTGACATTGATTTATATTACTTTAAGCGATCATTAGCTGGTCCGACCGTTACACTTTTTTCAGCAAATCACACGTCAACAAATTGAGTCCGACTATAGCCTGTTCCGTGGTCGACTAAGCATCATAATTGGGACCAAAGTAATGTTACTATACAAGCTGCTGACTGACTAGTTTGTTGCATGTTAAATTTGTCACCTAGTGCCTCAGTATATCACAACCAGCTGTATTTGCATAACTGGTTTTATTTATTATAGCGCACAGATAGTTTCATGAAACATTTGGGTGATGAAAGTGACCCAGCTGAGTTGTTTCCTATTGAATTTCACCGGGATGGTCTCGTTTCTTGGAAAGATTATGTAACGTAAGAAACAGTGTGATATTTTATATGTACTTCTAACTAGTTTATTTTTATCCAAGAGTGAATATCTACATTAAAAACAAGGCAGATGAGATTATCTACCATGTATTCTCAGTCAACTTAAGCTTTGGTTTCACAGATTAAATTGGGTAGTGCCTATGATATTGTGAACGAAACACTATCTAACATGCAAAAATTTCCTTATCTAAAGTCCAACAGACAAAGCTGGTCTTTAATTTACACGCCGTTGTAACTCAACGATTAGAATGACTTATTTGAAACATCTCTAAATGCTTATGTGATGCATAGTTAGTACCCAATCGATAAACAATTTTTAGCACTACATGTGTCTCAACAGGCTGCTTGGTTTGATGTAGGAAATTTTATGACAACATAATCGATTCATAGTTAAGATCATGAGTCAATTGAAGCTAGACCACCGTGGAAGCACTGGACGGCCGTTTCGTCCTATTATGGGACTCCTCACCAGTGCGCATCCACGAACCCGCTCTCGCGAGATTCGAACCCAGGACCTACCAGTCTCCAGCCAGAGCCCTTAACCGATAGACCACTGAACTGGCATCCAACGGTGTTAATGTCAAACCTCAACCAATCCACGAAATTGCGCAACCAACTTCCAATGTACTGAGGTAGATACCTGTCTCTACCTGACATGGATTAGCTCCACTGGCCACGACTTCTCACTAGAACTCGAGGAATTACCTCAAGGAGCCAGTCACTAGTGAGCATATGATCGATTCAATAAAATATGGAGGTGATTAAAGCGACCGAATTTCCCATAGGATCGTCCCAGCCGAATATATCCCAGGTTTTCTGAAATACTTTTGGTTCGGACTAGAGGGTCAGTTTTGCCACCATTCTATTAGTCCGATAGTCGCAATTATACCAATAATTTTCGAGTCGGTTTTACTTCCATAACCGTCTCACAAACCTAATAAACTTTACCACTACGAAGACGGTGTTCCTGTAACTCATCGCCTTTTCAATTATTTCACGCAAGATGATGATAGTTAAGAATCAAACTCCTAGTCAAGTTGTGTTTATTGATAGATGCGAGCAAGCCTTATACTCACACCTCATCAGTGTATTGATATTGAAGATGTAGAAACGTTTGATAGAACAGATATGATTGAGCTGTACTGTTGGACTATTCGATTTGCTCAACATCAAGCCGTTATACCTACTGCATCGAACGAATATGGTTCCCAACCATCGGTCTCATGAACGATCATTTGCTCCCCTACAAAAACGACCACAGTTGTCCAACTAGATGGACTAGTTCCAAGACAAGAGTAAATCAGGCGATAACATTCACATTCAACACGCGCTCGTAAATGACGGTTTCGCCCAGATGATTACGCGGTACGAACCATTCCAGTGATCTGACATGTTCACTGCACAGTTAGAAAAACATCAAACAAGTCAATACTACGCGGACTGACAAAAGATAGTAGTTTATATTTATCTATACATACATTCTGAAACGATTTCACAGTGCATGTGAAAATGTCCGGAAGTTATCGAGCCTTAATAATGACAAATACGAAACCACGTGAGTACCTCCGAACATGGAAAAACTTTTCCGACTGCTTTGGTCTGAAAAACTATTGAGTTTGCAACAGGGATAAAATATGCTTCTCAATTATACGTTGGCTGGCACGTGAGCCTCGTCGTATAGCAAAATCTAGTGCTGTCCACCCGTCTGCATTTATAGAAGTAATATCAGCACCCCAATCGAGTAACAAAGACACAATTGCGGCGTTATTGTTATAGGCTGCGAACATTAATGCAGTATTGCACAGCTCGTCAGACAGATCTACTGGGCATCCAGCTTTGAGCAAGTAAAGAACCACATCAAAGTGACCGCGGCTAGCAGCTAAGAGCAGTCCTGTCTCTCCGTTATCTCCAGATAGAATGATATTTGCACCATAGAAAACGAGTAACTCCACTGCAGCTTTCTGTCCATTAGCACAAGCCCATAACAGTGGCGTAAATCCCTGCAAATTAAATAACAGAGCATATTAACAACAAGTAGTCATCAAAGCATGTACTTGTATCGATATTTACACCACTAAAATATGGACTCTTGAATAGCTTGTAATAAAATAACACCAAACTTTGTTGGATAAAGTGGACTTATTTTGCGTTGTTTTTAAAGCCTCCGCATACACA